TTCTAGGTTATGAAAAGAAATGCAGATCACTTTTTTCTTTCACATTTACTGCTTATCGATATTCCAAGATCTGTGAGAGCGGTTGGCAAACTATGGTTCAAAGGCCACCCAACCCACTGCCTACTGCTGTAAATAAAGTTTTATTGGAACACAGACACCCGCATTCATTCACATATTGTCTACAGCTGTTTTTATGCAACAGTGGCAGCATTAAGTAGTTGCAACAGAGACTATATGGCCAATAAAGCCTAAAATATTTATTAGATGGCCCTTTAAGAAAAAGTTGGTCAACCTCTGTTCAACAACATATTAAAAAATGAACACACATAGGGGTAGGTATACACTAGATAACATTTGTGAAAAGCTATTTAGCAAATATGCTCTAAAACACTCCTAAGGAAATAACTGCCCTTTACACAGAGATTTACTCTATTTTCTAAATAACAGAAAAATTACAAACTATATGAATGCCAAACTATTGGAGATTGGTTAAATAAATTACGTTGTGGTCTTACAATGAGGCAGAACATGATCAACAAACTAAAGCAAGCTCAAACATTTACTTTGGTTCTCTCCCTAAGTATCTCTAGACAAAAATAAAGGAATTTATTTTGTTATTTTATTGTCATAGCTCAAAAGGACAAAAATTAATAGGAGAAAAAAACACATCAATGAAACTTTGGAAGCTGGATAGCAGATGTATCAGTGGTAACAGCCTTCAGACTCACGAAAGCTAAATCCTGAGCTAGTGGTAAGAAAATACAATAGCCAATATGATTTATACTAAGGACTTCCCCCATTCGCCAAAACTAGGATTGGTTTAAAACTTATGTAAGAAGCATCTGTATTTCAAGATATACACCCATACATAAGTCTATTGTGTCTAACCCAAGTGTTCAATACCTCATCCTTAAACAAGAGAAACAATCAAGGACCACCAGATAGCTGAGGAAAGCCTCTAATATGAAAAATAAGGGACCAAAATAACCAAAAGGGTTCAAAAACAACTTGGAGAACATAGACTATGTGGGGAGAAGAAAATTTTCAAAAGATTATAATAATTTCCTCAGAAAGCTAATAGATAATATTCCTCTCTGAAACAAGTATTAGATTTTTTTAAATACTAATAAGAACATTCGAGTAACAACAAAGCTGAGAAATTAAAATACAGTATCATAAATGAAATAATAGAAGGGCCAAAAGGTAAATATGAAGAAATCTGGAAGGAACAAAAAAGACAAAAAGATGGAAAATAGGAGGAAAAAAAATTAGAAGGCCAGTTCACAAAGTCAAATATCCAAATAGGAGTTCTAGAAAAAAGCAGAGACACCAGATGGAAATCAACAAAACTGTTGAAGTTCCCAGGCATAAAGGATTAAAAATTAAAGCATATGAAGGAGGATCCCCACCCAAAAAAGCCAGAATTATCTTCTGGAGGGCAGACCCCTTGTAGTACAGGCTTCCCCTTCGAGGTGACTGTTCTAGCAACACATCTGTATCAGCACATAAGCTGCCGTTGTTCTGAGAGGCTATGTTCAGCTACAGTGAAAATTTTTCTTGAAGACTCTTTCAATGCATTTACCCATTTTATGATGAGTGATTTATGAGCACACCTGCCCACACTGCAGTTTTTTTGGGTCCACCCTTGTAACATGTTCACACATGAATAAACAAAGTGCATCACTATCGAATTTCAGGATAAAAAAGAATTTGCTAAAATCCTGCAGAAAGAAAAAACAAATCATAAAGGATGGGAATCACAACAGTTTCAAACATCTAAAATACAAGAAAAAAATCTCTAATAGCTAAATGACAGTGGAGCAATGTTCTCACAATTCTGAAGAAAAATAACTTCTAACAAAATTCTATACCCAGCTGAACTATTATAAAATAGACATGAAAGATCTCAAAATATTTACCTACCAAGCACTCTTTTCCCAAGAAGCTAGAGAATCTGTGCCACCAAAATAAAGTATTAAATCATAAAGAAGAAGCCATGGGATCCAGTAAACATAGTTCCAACCCAGGGATAAAGCACAGAAAAGCCCTGGATAACGGTAAAGAAATTCAATGATGACAGCTCTGTAGCAGGAAAAAAAGAACTACGCCAGACTGGTAAAGCTCCTGGAAAGTATTGCTGAAAGAGATAAAATTAACAAACTGAATCTTTGTTTTGAGAGATTCTTACAGTGTGTTTAAAAAAACACACAAAATTTTAAAACTATTAACTCCAGATAAAACAAAAAATTGTGCAGGAAATGAAAAGTAGGCAGAATATGCTACATAGCTTGGTGGTGATTAGCATATACCAGCTAAACTTTTAATATTAATTTAAGCAGAATTATGATATAGTCTTAATAGAAGGATTACATGCACACCCATGTGAATATATGTGCATGAGTGAAAAAACTAAGTGCTCATCTTTCATTGTGTGAAAAAGGGGTTCTACTTAACACTGAAAAAATTAAAAAGTACAATATAAACATTTTACTCAGAAGCAGGGATACTAAGTTAAAAATGGCTGCCTCAAGGGAGAGGAAAATGACTCGTTCATTTCTCAATAAACCCAGAGTTCTTTAAACTCATATTAAAAATAAAAACTTACGAATGTAAAATTAAATACAAAAGACTATAGAGCATTACTACTCAAAAGTAGCTACCAGTCCACAATGAGATAAGGAGCTTGTACCAGAACGTATGTCAACTACATACATCACTGAAAACACTGCTGACAATTTTTCTATAGCAAGATTTTCTTGATGACAGAAGCAATGCCTTGATTTACATTTTGGCTCAAGTTCCTTATATCGTATCAAGGCACTTTGAGTAGGACAAGGGTAGGTGAAGGGTCAAGAAACGTTCCTGTAAAAGGCCACAGGGCAAATATTTTAGGTTTTGCAAGCCATATGGTCTCTCACAAATACTCACCTTTACCGCTGTATCACGAAAACAAGTATAGGCAATATGTAAATGAACAGAAGTGGCCAGGTTCCAATTTATTCATGGCCCTGAAATTTGATTTCATCTAACTTTCATGTGCCACAAAACATGTTTTTTCTATGTAAAATCCATTCTTAGCTTGCAGACCATGGCCAGAGTTGGCCCATGGGCCATAGTTTGCCAACCCCTATGATAGACAGTATCATCAACTTTGTTAAAAAGAAAACTGTGTCATAGTAGTTCCATTTAGTATAAGTGTCTTCTCTTTTTTATTCTTTTTGTTTCCCTTCCAGAAATAGAAATAATACTTAAGAATTTTAAAAAATCATAAAGTTTTAAAACAAATTTATCTACCTACAAATATACTTTTCTCTCTATTCTCTAAGCAGGCTTATATCCAGATGATCTAAATTTATGTTTAGGCTATTCCAGGAGTATGATTATTCCTCATAAACCTCAACCCAATAGTTACTAGGAACAATCTCCTCTATCCTGGCATTGTAATAAATAAAACTCAATTGTAATGAAAAAAGCCTCACTGTTTTAAAACTAAACAGAAAAGACCACAAACAAAAATCAAATCCTGAATTTTTTAAGTGGAGGAAATGTTCCTAGAGCAGCTCTCCCTTTTCTAGTTCCAATAAAGTCATATTTAAGATAAATGCAAAGTTACTGATTCAGTCATCTAATATTTTTAATTTCTTCAGCAACGCCTTAGTTTCCCCACCAGCAGAGGCCCAAAACCCTCAAAACCTTCTAGGTTTCTCTACAACTGAGGGGGAGGCCGGCAGCGATGGTACAGGGTAATGGGAACCTCCCAAGCCTCATTAACTTCACTAGTGTCACAGGTCCTCAGAGTGAATGGTGAAAATGGAAGACGTTCCTCCCTTGTTGATTGAATGATCATCCTTTCTTTGTGTAGCTACAGTCTTCGAACAGAACAGGGTGCAGGAAATATAAGCACAACCAAATTCCAATTAGGTAGAACAGCCATGTCCAAGTTTCCAAGCTAGCACGGTCCTCCCACAGAAAGAAAGCAGGGATCCATTCTGGTATGCGTCAGAATGGGAACAATGCATGGCAGAAAATCCAACCAGGGACTGCCACCGCTGATGTTCACTAAAAGGCGCAACTATGGTTAACCTGACCACTGCTTAGAGATCACATACTAGAAGACGGAGAGGGGCCACTTGAGTACTCTGTGACTTATTGCTTTGGGCATCATAAAAAGAAAGTGAAGAAATTCAGCCAATTCCTCAGAGACTATTAAAATTTTACCATTCTAAGATAAATTGTTCCAGAATTTTTCAGGCTGAGAGTGCCACCTAGTGGCTTTCCATCTTAAACTGTTAGGTGACATTTGGGACAGTCACCTCTCTAAAAATTCAATATTTAACCACTTTAATACATAAAGACAAAGCTTCCAGCCTTTCTTGCCAAAAAGTAAAAATAGGTTGGAAAACATTAGAGCATTTGGGGAAAGTAAGAACAGGTCAGCCCTAAAGTACGAACCCTGTAACTAAGACAAAACACTTATGGCACCACTGCTAGAATCAACCTACTTAGTAGCTCTAGTTCCCCTCAAAGAAATCCATCCCAGAACACAGCAGTCGAGAGCTCTCAGAAAGAAAATCACAGTAGAAAAAAAACTCAAAACCACAAGAGTCCCAAAATAGGAAAAAATAGAAACTTGAGGTCATATATATTTGGGCATAGGAAATGAGAGAAATGCCTTTTGCTAATGAGACAAAAAAAGAAAAAGAAAAAGAAACCCTAAAAGATAAGTGATATTTCTAAATGGCAATGTCCACAACCTTAACCCATGAATTTCTAATGAAGGTATGCTAATATACAAAAAAAAAAAAAAATTTAAGTTCTTATGGTGTCCAGGTCCCCTACAATAAACACACACTTGTGTACAACTGTGCATATACCTCTACATACCACTGGCTTGTCTTGAATTAAAAATGCTTCAACTCTCGATCGATTATTCAAATTTTTGTATTATCGGTAGCCTCACAACAATCACTGTGCATCTTAAGATGCTGGGAATGACTCACCTTGGCAACAAATTGCTTGTCCTTTTGGTCCAAGTTAGCAGTGGGAGCCACATAGTCTCTCCATATTCTCAGCCTGCGTTCCTTGGCAAACCTGACAACAAAGCAAGGATGCAAATCATTCAGACAGATTAGATCAGTAAAGGGAATCCACCATCACCATGAGAGCAAACAGTACAGAATCCTACCCTACCTCACCGACAAGGCACCCAGGAGAAAGGTCACCAGTCAAGGCAGAACAAAGTGTGACAACAGAAAAAGTGTATAGCAACTGTAATTATCCAAGATGCATATATAAACCATAAACCCATGGCTGGCAGACTAGATCTAAATATGCAATTTTTGAGAATAAAAAGTTCACGTTCACCTTGGTAATTAGCTCTTAGCTTATCCAGTACCTCCCAAGTAATTACTATATACTAGGCACTGGAAGGACACACAGCAGGTGTTCTTTTAAATGTAAAGAATACACACACCGAACAAACAAATATACATGTTTTTTTTAAAAAACAACAGGCTTGCTCAAGTTCCACTTGAATCCAAATCCTATGTGGAAAACAAGAACAAAATTGTCATTGCAGTGCATCTAAAGAGTGAGAGAAAAGAACAAACTACAATAGAAGTTCATTAACAAAAGCTTAAAAATCACGCTGGCAGAAATTTTGTAAAGTACTAAGCCCAGGAGACAATCTTTGAGTCAGACTAAGAGAGGTAAATGGAATATGTGCAAAGCTTTAAATAAATAAATCAATGAACAGCTGTCTCACGATTTTACAAGTAAATGGATACATGTGCAGGGGAAAGCAACTATTATTTCTGAAAACAGTATTGCAACCATTTTTTTTAAAAAAAGAAACGTTAAAATAAGAAAAAGACAAAGCAGCATGTTGTAGTTGTAAAATATATGAAGTACTTCAATAGAGATTTTCCGACAATGCAAACAAGTCAAATATAGCACGTAAAACAGCAGGCAAGTAATCACAAATTATCAAAATATGATTTGTATTCCTTGGTCTAAACCTCTTTTATAATGATGACCGCTCTCTAAAAAATCCATAAAATCTCCTACAGATGTTATAAAACATGCAGATACTACTGTCACCACACCCACTTTCTTCAGAAAAGAGGCAGGAACCTAAAGAATGCAGTAAGAACTACCAACCAAAATAGTAATTTAGAATAATGGACTAACAAGATTTTTTGAACCCCCCCCCAAAAAAAATTGGAGCATCACAGAATAATCAGAGATATTTGGAACATTATACTTGATAATAGTATTGTATCTTCCAAATGTAATTGTGGAACATAAAGACGAGTAACAACTTTTATATAATAATTGTGTTTTTCTTAATCAGACCATCTACCTTTGTCAGACATGCCATATCAAATGCCCCAGATTAAAATCTTTTATAAGAGGTTGCAAGTATTCCTGCTTAGAGAGTAGAAGGATGTAAAAGACCTAACAAAGGGGAAGAAGATTATAGTCATTCAATTCATGTTCTTAAATATCGCTTAGCTGTGTGCCTCAAAGGCAAACATGTGAAGTTACCAAAACCAGGATAATTTTATGATTCTGAAATGAGCCAGGCAACAAGCCTTGAGAGTGGAAACTTGTCATCAGTGGTCAACAGCCTTCACTTAATTCATCCTGGAAGGTGGTGGCTGGAATCCCCAGACCATCGTCTCTGTTCATCTACTCTTGCTACCTGCTTCACTTTCTTCTCTCTACCCACCAAGTGAATGAGGTTCACGTACATCTGGAAACACTTGACCTTGACACTTGAAATCACCACCAATGTTTAAAATCCACTATTGTTTTTCTGGAAGTAAGTTATTTCTACATCTGCCCCTAGCCAAAAACATGACAACAGCACCTCTCGCAGTTTCATTAGTATTTATAATTAAAACATACTTTTAAATAAATTAGGGTATTAAGCCTCACAACAGCATTAAATAGTTCTGTGTTCGGCCCACAAGTTTTACCTTTCCATAATGTCCCTGGCTCCAGCCTGCCTGTTTGAGAGTAGCTGGTAAGCAATTTCACTGTCCTCAAATGAACCTCAAGTTTATTTCATCCCAAATGCCTACAACCTGGAATTTGAGAGGTTTTTTTTAAAGTGACCTGGAAAAGCACATCAGGTGAAGCATAATTTCTGAGTAAAAATCTAGTTCATTATAAAGCACTGAATTCAATTAAATCTAAAGAATTTACAAGTCCTCTATGAGATCCCAGCCTATTGTGGAATTTCTCTAATCCTTTACAGAAACAAAACAGACACTGATGTAGATGGGTGAAAGATCCCTAGATTTCTTTCCCTAAAGATCCTTAACAAGGTCCTTGGCTGGAAGGATTCCCTGACAGACCTTACCTCTCAGCTGCCCTCAGCTTTTCCGCACCCCGAGTGTACACCGCAATCGACCAATCCACACAGCGTGCAAAACCTTCCTTCAGGAGGAGCTCTGTAATGTTGCCATTCTGAAAAACAAGGCACATGAAAAGGCAGGCACAAATTAGATTCTATGGCAAGAGAATCATTTCTCTAGACTTCTGACACCACCGCATAGTCACAATCTAGTCTGCAGTTCATTTAAAAAAAGAGAAAAAAGCCGTTTCTCAAGCATTAAGAAATAAGCCCCAAGACAGACACACTATTGTGACTCCTCTCAACAACCTCGGCTTCATATCCTCCCAACACCAGGCACAGTGACTCTCACTTAATAGGAACAGGATAAATGTTAGTGGCATTGAATGGAATTGACATTTCAATAGCTCTTCTTGTGGGCAGAGGAGCATGTTAATCTTTAGTGGAGATTACACCTTATTATTTCCTTCCCTAAGATCAGCACTTACTCCCTTTTTCATAAGGGGAAAGCTAAAGAACGAGCTGAGTAAGGGAATAACTTAAGCTACATTTTGCCCAATGAATTACAATTCACATTCTGCTATGACACAGAGCCATCTGGCAGGGCATGGGCAGACAGCTAGCACTCCAGAAGAAACAGACATGACCTTGGCTTATTCCAAACCAAGCCTCTGAGCCTTCACAACTGCCACGATGGAAGAGTTCTCTAGCTAAAGAAACACTAGTTACAATACAGTTACTTTACATTGGATAGAGGTTATAATAATGGAAATCCACTTAAATTCTGGTGTTAGAAAACAAGGTCATTTCCTGTCCAAGAATAACCCACCTACCAAAGTATAAAATAAGGTCAGAACATAAAGAACGTATTTCCAATAGTCAGAACATAAAGAACCTATTTCCTGCTCAAAAAGCAGAGTTAGGAAGAAACTGGATTAAAGCCTGGCATACACAAAATAATTTTTCCATAGACAGATTTCCTCATAGTTCTACCACTATTCCAAATAGGTAACTTCTAGACCCACATACGAATTCCCCACTCCTCTTCTCCAAGTTTCAGCGTCACTTCTAATCCATGTTGCAACCTCCTACCTTTCCTAGGCACAACCTCTAAGACCAACTCTTGGGAAAATAAGTGATAGAGTTCCCCTTGTAAATCCAGCAACATTTGAGATTAATTTTCTAACTGTAAGAAGTTGCAGAGATTTGTCCAATTCTATCAGATAAGTGATATCTCCCTTGAAAATGCCTCAGAAACCAATAGATGATAATCCTGCCAAGATATTTAATGGCTCTTAAAAACAGAGGGGGGGGAAAAAGAGAGAGAGAAACGAAATATAGCTTGTCAAACCCCAAATGGATCCCCGACCCCACACAGCCCACTCTGTATGGCACACTCACTGGATGAAGGATGGTACCCAGAATGTTCTGGTTATGGCAGCTCTCCAGGATGATCTGAACATCTCTCTGGAGCAGTCGAGATTCTGTGAAAAATTTGGCTTCTGCAGCAAAAGGCTCCGGTGTTTCACTGCCATCTGCTTCCCGTCGAAAAGTTGGGCACTACAGTGAAAGTAAGGTGAGTGAGTCATGCAGGCCAAACATGAGTGCTCGCCACTCTCACGCCACATTGAACCCTCCAGAAAGCACAAACCAACAAGGTGATGCTGGGGAAAGTCTCATATCAGATCTTCTAACACTTTTTAAAACATAGTGGTAAAAAGTAACTGGGAATGGCATCATCTAAGACTTCGTCGTAAGGCAAATAAAACTCATGTTATCATGGAGAAAATAATTTTATTTACAGTTGAAAATTACCCCTTGCAAGAAAAAAATTCACCAGTACCTAGCACTAAATCCTTGGTTTGTTGTTGCTGCTTTTGTTGTTGTTTAATCGGAATGTGTATTTTACATTAAGAAGAGTCAAACTCAGAAAACTTCAGAGCCCCCTATCCCCACTGCTGGGTCTTGACAATCTCTCTACACAGCCCACTCCAAACAGATCCTGAGTACTTAAAAAGTTTTAAAAAATCTTTGCTCTCATTGGAACTGTCCCACTGCAAAGTGTAAAGTACTCTAGCCAATGCTAATGGCTCATTGTAGAAGAAACAATAGATCCAAAGTCCCCCAGTAGTAAAATCTACCTGTGACTGAACAGTTCAGCAAACCCTAAACCCGCCCTGCAGCCCAGGGTGTGGTCTCACCTTGATCCCTGACAGCATGACGGTGACCAGGTAGTAATCTGGGAGGAGCAGGGCTCTAACCACACTGCCGTCCCGCACGTGCTCGATGATGGCTGCACAGGGAATAAAAAGCTTCAGTCATTCGCAGAACTCACTCCAGGGATAAACAATGCCCAATCAACACAGTTCCTCTCCCCCAAAACTTTCGGGAAGGCCTCCCTCTAAGAAATGATGAAGCACTGGCAAATCATGAGTATTCACACAACAGACTTTTCGACAACTATTCCTGGGGAACACAGATCAAAGTGACTTCTACATCTTCCAAACCCTCTGGCACCTCATGGCTCACACCTAAGCTTTAATGTCAGTAAGCTGCTCGCCTCAGTACCAGGTACCCAGCAAAAAATAATTCAGGATTGGAAATCATTTTATTTTACTGAGTGAGTGTTAACAAGGTCTCAGAGTGGGCCAGAATTATAGTGTGAGCACATGCATTTGATGGTATAAAAAGAATAAACATTCCTACCTCAGTTACAAAAATGGTATTTAAATAGCCATTTTTAAGAAAACAGAAAGAGCCCCAATGTCCAAAAATACCAGTAATTTACTATCCTAAGGACTAAACTTTGCAAAATATATCTAATGTGACCCACACGAACTGGATCGAGTTTCCTTCCAAAACACCATGGCATTATTTACCCTTCACGATTTCCCTTGGATACTAAATAAGTAATACAGGTTTTATAAACTTCAAGAAGCTTGAGAGCAACTAGAAAGAAATCACCGCGAATCACATCTGTCTTTGCCCAGAGCCTCACCATTGACAGGCTTCTGGTGGTGCGAGTCCACAAAGTGCCTAGGGTTCTCAATGGTATACTTGAGGTCCCGGATAGTGTGTGAACTGTTCCCATCACTCCACATCCCTTTCTTAGCTGCCTTTGCTTGTTCCTCACACTCCGAAAGCCGATTCTGTTCAGGACTGGAATGTGAAAAATAAACACGTGTGGTTAGTGAGTTCAGATATATTAGGCTCTTCTTTGACTCTGAGTTTCTTCAGCATCTTCTCCCCCTGAAGGGACCACAGAATTTCTTTCATATCAATAGCTTCAGACTCAAGCCTACAAGCAGAAAATCACCATGAATGCAACTTCAGGATTCCCCATTTGTTCCCTCCAACAACAGATTCTATCCTAAAAGCATTTAATGAGAAGATCCAAAGAATACACATCTCAGCACTGCCACCATCAGTGATTACAAGAAAACAAGTTGGTGGCTCAGAGGGAAGCCACTCCAGGGGGTAGAGCTTCGTTTAACTAGCCCAGGTTCAGAAACTGAAATCTAGACAGAGCTCAGCAGGTCACAGTGCAGGAAAAGTGACTAAGAACCACTCTTACTCCCTGTTGTCCATAGAACAGGGCTGGGGAATGTAGAGCAAATACTGTTATTGCAGATAATGTTACCCCAAAACTACTTACACATTCAATAAGGCCAGCTAAGCAAAAACAGTTTGAAAATGGAAGATTCCTCCTTCATCAGGTGGGAGACCAGACTACACACAACAGCAGCCAGAAAGTCAGCAAATAGACAAACAAACAAACAGAACCAGAAATGGCTCTGTTCTTCTCTCTCGCACACATTATCTGAGCAAAAGAAGTAAACTGCATGGCCTTTCCACAATCTCAGTGCCTGGTTCCATCAAGGCTGTATGCATACATGGAATCTCCCACCTTGATCTGTATGGATATCTATGCAGGGACCCCTGACCCATAATTTCTCAAACCAGAGGTCTTCGGTACCTTTTCCCCCTCCCACCCCCCAAAAAAAGACAATCACATTATCAGGGATCCAAAATTACAGCCAGAATTCAATGAAAAAAGAAAACAAATGCAGCTTAAGAGAGAGCAAACATAAAAACTGACAAAAGAAGGCTTTAAGTCAAGACAATTTTGAAGAAAAAAAGAATTGGTATGCCAGGGGAGATACCTTTGTTGAGATAGTAAAATACTACTATGGGCTTTTTAAAAATTCTCCATTCTGGGTGCAAACTGGATTCCTAAAAAACAGTGCAATAATAATCATGCCAGCAATTGTCCTTAAGATACAACTTCAGCATGCTTTCAAAACAACCTAAGACAAATATCTTAATGTAACAAATTCCCAGCAAATGACTCTATGAAGTCAGAAAAGACCACAGAAGTTTACAAGTGGGCCCCAAGACTACAAAGGCAGGAAGAACACAAAAAAATGCATTTTTACCTTTGCTCATTCCCATTATTAGTACAGGCCATACAAGTATTTATCCAAAGCCTGGACATGATTTAAACAGCATCTTTAGCCTCCAAATTATTGATGTAGCTTATCACTTTTCAGAGACTAAGTACTAATTAAAGCCAGCTGCAATCCATCCTACTGAGAGCCAACACTGGTAAACTTGAACATGACTACATGTGCTATAAAGCCTACATACATAACACTCATTTCTAGTAAGTTCAGACTGCCATTAGTTAAACAAATACATTTGCACCTACAAGTATCTATAGATCCATAGACCAAAGCAAAACTTCAAAGGCTTTGGAGAGAGAGAAATTTTCCCTGACTTTAAAACAGAACCATTGATTCTTTATCAGTTTAACTAGACTCTAAGCAGTAGATTTTGCTTTGAATTCTATTTATGCTCTTCACTTTATTTGTCCTTGATAAATACTCTGGAACTGAGTATCTATGGTGTAAAACAAGGCCTGTTGACTCATAGACCAAGGCCTGTTTGGTCTATGGATCTATTCAAATTATGAAGAATAGAGCTGCCTGTCTCAAAGCCTATTTTTCCAAGGGGTTACACACATCAACTGCCACTAGAAAATGGTGAGTGACCTGCTGGCTCAGAATAATTCACACCTGTGCAGGAATGTCCTAAAAGCTGGAGAGCACCAGAGGTTACCCACTTAATGTCAGGGGGCAGTAATGAAAATGCAGCAAAGCCAACACACAGCTGACTACCCAAACTCCCTTGAGCAACCCCAGCTCTCACAGTGGAGTAGAAGGAAGTCAGAAGATCAGAAGAGTAATGAAGACTTACTTATTAGCTCTGATGCCTTCTCTCCGGGTGGCCAAGCCCTCTGCAACCAGAGACTCTGCAATGTTTTCCCCACTGGTATCTGAGGAGGAAAAAAAAAAAAAGAGCAAATTAAACACAAGATTCAAAGCTGCCTCCAATGGCGCTAGAGAGCAAATGAAGCCCACTTTCATCCTTAGCTCTTCAAGGGGAATGAGGTTGCCAGCAAATGGGACAAGGAAGCGATGTAGTGTTGGGTTTTTCAGAAAACACTTTCTCCCAAAATGTCTAGTCTCTAAGACCCAAAGGTGTACAAATCTTTTTCTCAGGACTTAGCTTCTAATTTTCTTGTGTATCTCCTAGGCCAAACACAATCTCAAGAACTACCGGAGACTGACAAGAAAGCGAGACACATGCAGCAGCCTAGCAGTGTATACAGAGCACTCACCAAGGAGGAGAGGCCTGGAGCTAAATGAACATTTTGCCACTTAATGTCTTAGACAAGATCTTCAGCCTTAATTTACTCATCTCTAAAATGAGAAGAGCACCTCCCTAAGATGGGTCTTAGTAACATTTACTGTTACTGTTAAAATTAAACAGTAACGTTTGTAAATAGCCAAGCACATAGAAATTAAGAACATATTATACATACAATCAGACAGATCCGTTTAGGATTGTCCATCACATTTTACACCAGGAAATCCAATTCCTCTCAGGATGCCCTATTCTTTGCACCAGCGGAACACCTAGACAAGTTACGCAGTTTGACAGACTTTCTCCTGCTCTCACAGAGTCACAGGGACAGTGTCTAGATATCTAATCTCTCACACAGCAGCCTTCCGAGCAGGCAAGAAAAATACAGTTAAACATAAATCCCAACCTGATTAGGTTTTACCTGGGCACTTGAAACAGTAATTGCATTTCCATGCTATTGAAAAAGCTTTTAGGCTCTGTGTATTCTCTTAAATCTCTGCTTGTCAGCCAGAACGATAAAGGAAGACATCTATGAGGGAATCGCCACATAAAAATGTTTAACATGGCAGAAACAAGCTCCTAGATAAACTAAAACAAAGTCTAGCCAATCGGTAATGACGCACAGAATAAAATTCTGTAAGATTTCTATTTGGTACACTATACGTCGTCTGCAAGCAAGCACTGAGTGTGCACACCATCCCCAAACCCAACTTAAATGCCTTGCCATTAGCTTGCCCCAATTTCTGCACAAGTAAATTATAAGCCTCTCTTCTTACCAAAAGTTCGGATGAATGGTATTTATACCAAGGACGCTCAGGTTCTGAAGTCGAGCATGGATCACAAGAACCTTTCCACTGAAATTACTACTGAGGCCAGACATACACAGCTCCCTGACACTAGCGAACATTACACTGATTCTCTGAAAACAACAGGAATACAAAGAATAAGAAGTCGAAAGGAGGGATTCAAGAAGTAAGGGAAAAGTTGAGCAGTAAAGGGCCCAGAAGTCAGGGGGTGAAAAGAACAAAGCCCAGGTACAAACAAGATGAGTGGTCATAACAATAGCCGATCAACAGCATACCCAAAGATATTTTCTTAGCACAGAGCACTCTGATAATGGCTGTCAGCAGGCCCACTTCTAAAAATTTTGGTCTGATTGCTCCTTCAAAGGGAGAAAAATACATTTCTCTGAGTCGGCCTCCCAAAGGAAACAACGAAATATGGTAGACAAATACTGAAAACAGGGAATTTGTATGGCACTAAGAACTGATGGGTGACTACATTTTCTCCAAAATTGGAAAGACTAATCACCTTTTTTTTAAATAAGTTCTAGGTTAACCACAATTTCTCAAATTCTACCATTCTCCCCATCATAAAAAGAGTTGCTATGAATTAGGATAAATATATGAGTATTAATTAATTACCTAAGCCACTGTTTCATTAGAATGGCATTAACAATTGGTTAAAGTATCTGAATGAAAATATTAAACTTTAAGCCATTTAAGCCTTTAAAATTCAAAGATGTAGGTAATTTTAAATCATTCTTTCAGTACATATTTATTGACGAAGTCCTATGTACCGGAGTTTTAGTCTAAACATTAGTACATTAACTGCTCAATCATATCCAGTTTATAGTTTGGGTCAGTTTAAAAAAATAAACTTTTTAAAAACAACATTGAAAATTATTTTAAGTGTCAGATTCTCTTAACAATTTGACCATTTTAGTTGAAGACTAGGGTTATTTAAATGAACTCTTAGACACAGGCTGTGGAATTACTTTAGGTAATGAAATCCTTGAACAATGCATTTGGAAGACAGTATACATCTATTTGTATTACATTCTTTCTAACCAGTAACCATTCAACAATAACACTTACGTGTTTTATTTCCTACTATATTATTTGAATTACGTGTAAAAGACAAATCTATTTCTCTTTTTGAAAAGATTACATATAACTTCCCATCCAATCGAGAAACAGCCATTTGTCTGGGAGGATGAAAATGGTAGTGTTTCTCTACTGGGTAAACTGGGCAAGATGCCTCCAAAGTCATGCCCACGTCACTTATCTAAGACCTCTAATTTAAAATCAGAATCTTAAGATGATGAGCCCTGCCCAGGTTGTTCATATGGTTAGAACATCATCCTGATATGCCAAGGTTGCAGGTTCAATCCCCAGTCAGGGCACATACAACAATCAAGCAATGAATGCTCAAATAATTGGAACAACAAAACCGGTGGGGGGGGGGGGGCGTGTGTGCGTGCGTGTGTGTGTGTGTGTGTGTGTCCCCCTCTAAATCAATAAATATTTTTAAAATTATATTATAAAAGATGATGTTAGCCATGTCATTCTATCCTGCTTGCTTACTTCTAGTACCCAAGTCAAATAGACTATCTAAAGCAGCTCAGCTGGAAGGTTATTTTATCAAATAATCACAGGAAACTTAAAAATATCTGCTACTAAAATAATTCCAGATGAACACAACTGTTTTATCCTTTACAGAAAACATTCTACCAGGTCTTTCAATGTCCTATTTCTGTTCAAACTCTATTCCACAATGTTTCTCCCCCTCTACCTAATTCAAAAGACAAGAATACCTAATATTCCATGAGCCATCTGGCCCAGCTAAATAACCAATGTATTTGTGCACATACACAAATGTATTTATTGAGCACACACTCTGTGCCAGAGATAAGATGCTTTACATATATTATCTCTTTAAACTCTCAATAATTTACAAATGAAGGAACTAGGGCTTAGAAAAGTTAAGGGTTAAATTAAGTAAGGGTCTATGAGAGAAGAGTCAGAATTCTAACGCACACATACAAAACTCCAAAGCCTGTGTTCTTCCCGTTCAATTGCAAAGTATGTGGCTTGCAAGAAAAGCCCCACGAGCCCTAAACAAATCTTTCTTTTCTAAAGAGAGTCCCCATGAGCAGAAGAAAAACCACAAGACAGATAAAAGAAATAGAAGATGTAATCGGAAATCTATAGGAATTCAATTAGCACTATGACCTAGAAGCACAGAGCCATTAAGTTCCATGGGCTGAAGGCCTCAATGCAGGGAAGAATGCTATTCTGTACAACATACACCTAAACCAAGCCAGGAAAGCAGGCCCAGGAGTAAAACAAGAAACCAAAATATCAGGTAATTACTCTGCAGGTATGTGCCATGAACTCACACTGCCAACTACATCAACAGCCATCTGTCCTACGGCTACCTCCACCAGCACTTGCGCTGGCCTTCCACCAGGTGAAACTGACTGGAGGAACTTCAGACTCAGAGGAGAGAAATGAGTCCCTTCCTCCTTGATACTCACCTTTTCCAAGGTAGATCATGCCATACTCTCGTCCCTGGGGAGTCTTGTTTTCTATCGTGAAACAGACTTCCTTCCCAATCAGCTTCTTCCGAAGGAACTCTCGAGCAGGAAATGCCCAGGGCTGAGAGACAAAACAAATGTGTCACATGAGAACTGCCTAGTTTCCCACAATCAGCATTCAAGTTTATTTCTTCAATATCCTAGCCCTGCGCTAGGCCCTGAAGAGAATATAAAAATGAAATGCACACAACACAAATCACACACTTAGGGAGCTCATAAAAGGAGGGTCTAGCGATTGGGTCTAGCACGGGCCCTAAAAGCAGGCCTCACAGTTTTCCGGAAGCCGGCAGTAGTACCCTTTCCCCCATCACTGTCTATTCAAGAGCTATAGCTTACTTGGTGAATAACAATTGCCAATAATTTTATAGCACTTATACCACGTGCCAGCCACCACTCTAAATGCTTTATATTTATCAACCTACTCCTGGGTAAGAAGTCCAGGCTCCAGAAACTCATGTAGCTAAAGGGAAGTCCCAAACAACTATGACCTCCATTTGTCTCTTTCCAGTTTACGAGACACTTTCACTACTGAACTAGCCTGAAACCAGTTCACTGCACTGTTGAATTAGGGATAAGGTTCTAGAACTACTAGAGTGAGTCCTCAAGTTAAGAGCATTGCATACATCATTCCCTTCAACTTTTTTAAGAACAGGCGACAGAGCTGAGAATGGCGAAAACTTTTCTCCTCAAAATATCTCCTCCTCCTCTTCTGCACTAGTCTGAAGCTATACCAGTGGGGCTGCATAAAGCTCCCAGGATCTCTGGGAAGACATCGGTAACAGGTCCTGGTTAACTTGACAATGACACAGGGAGTTACCCATTAAAGGCACTGACACAAGGAATGAGCCACACATCAACACAATGGGAAGCAGAGTCTCCATGATCTCTAGGTACTGTGCAAAGGAGTGGTTTTGCCTCACCCCCAACCCATCCCTTCTAGGATGATAAGGACAAAATGAGATGTCTCCTCTGAAGAAACCCTGTCAGTCAGCAGTCACAGGCACTTGAATTTACAGTCTGGATCTAGCTCAGTGCCACAAGATCCCTGGAACAGAAATGAGGAAGGAAGGAAGAAGAGTTCAATGAGCATATTGATCAGCAGGAGCTCATGCATAAAAAGTGCAAAGTATAAAAAAGAAGAGTGGTATATGACACGTGTACAATGTCTACTACAACCTCATGGAGCCACAGCACTCGGGCCACACACAGTAAAAGGAAGAACAATACATGTGTGGCCAGTAAAGGAACCCTCTGCTGACCTTTTCAGCCCATAAGGATTAGTCCAAGAGGTTATCCAATGAGATTTTCTAGAAGAAAACATCCCAGATACCAGATATGACTTCCCAGAAACCAGAAGCAACCAGTTGGGCTAGTATTCAAAAAAACCAATCCTGTTATATAAACCAGCTGCAGATGGTTCTAGGAAGAATTGATCCTGCATAATTAATTAAGTGCTATTGAAGACACAAAAGCTTTCACTCAATTCATCTAATGCTCTCTCCTCAAAGCACCAACAAGCTAAAGAGCCAATCACCCAATGGCAATATAGAGCTCACCATATTTTACATCCCATTTGTACTTCTTGCCCCACCTCTAAAAATGAAAATTGATACCTGTAACCATTGAGTCTGATGACTGATAAATGAGCCCAATTATCAACTAATCACAGAAACACTACTGAATCAGTAACAGAGGTTCCTGCCATTTTTATTGCCTTAGTGATCCACTTACTCTAAAAATATCTTCAACATTCGAGGTCTGTCCAGAAAAAGTCTAGCCATTATTAATATTACAGGACAGTTTGAGCAACACTGATGTAACCTGGCAGCCAAGGAGAGTGGACAGGAATGCACATATGTGAACCATGAGGACTTCACTGTACTAGTCAGTAGGGGTGGTAGATGCCCACTGAGAGAGCATGTGTACTGTGTGGCTGTGGTATTCAAAATGACTAAGCAAGTAGAGCAACGAATCCGCATCAAATTTTGCATTAAGTTTAAACACTCCTCCACTGACACTATTTGGATGATTCAGGAAGCTTTCAGGGACAACGCAGTAAGTGCAGCACAAATAAAAGTGTGGCACAAACACCTCAAAGGTTGAGAATATATTGAAAGTGATGCACGTTCTAGAAGGCCTGCAACAAGCTGAACACCTGAGAATGCTGAATGTGAGCTGGCTACAATCAACGAAGACTGGCAGCTGACAGTGCAAGAACTAGAAGTTGATCTGGGGATTCCAAAAACCACTGTGTCCGAGATTTTGATACAGGATCTTGGCATGAAACGTGTCATGACAAAATCTGTTCCACAGCTTCTGCTACCAAAGTAGAAGGAACATCGTGCTGCAGTTAGTCACTAATGACTTGATTCAAATTGCTACCAGTGAACCAGATTTCCTCAAGAAGGTCATAACTGTAGATGAATGGTAGGTCTACAGCTCAGATCCTGAAACAAAGGCCCAGTCATCCCAATGGAGGTCGCCTGGTTCTCCATGCCCTTAAAAGTCACAGCCCTTAGAAGGCACAGCGAAGTCACAGCAAGATCAAGGCCACATTAACTGTGTTTTTTGATGGAGAAGGTGTTATCCATCATGAGCACTCCCCTCCAGCCAAACAATGAATAAAGAGCACTACTTCAATCTTCGTTGGTTGAGAGATGCCAATACAATGAAAATGGCTGCAGCTATGGGCAACTGGTAAATGGCAGCGTCATCACAACGTTCAAGCATTGTGCAGTTTTTTGGCAGTCATCAACTCACCCAGGTGACTGAGCCCTGCCATGGACCCGACTATGTGCCCTACAACTTACGACTTTTCAAAAACTAAAATCACCTTTGAAAGGGAAGAGATTTCAGACAGTTGTGAGATGCAGGAAAATACAATGGGGCAGCTGATGGCAATTCCAACTAAAGATTTTGCAGAGTGATTTGAACAGTGGAAGAGTCACTAGAAGAACTGTAAGGACCCAACATGCCTACTTTGAAGGAGACTGAGATGTCATAGTTGTATGTACAATGTTTCTTGCATCCTCTCCAATAAGTGTCTCCGTTTTTCATAGTATGCGGCTGGATACTTTCTGGACAGACCTTGTAGATTTAATACTTAGGACTTAGTTCTGAGTGCCATATATCATGAACACACTGCATTCCTAAACACTTGAAAAGCTCTGATAAGACAAGTACTCCTAGCCCTGATCAGTGTGGCTTAGTTGGCTGGGCATCATCCTGCAAAGCCAAAGGTCACTGGTTTGATTCCAGGTCAGGGCACATGCCTGGGTTGCAGGTTTGGTTCCCCATGGAGTGTGTATGAGAGGCAACTGATTGATGTTTCTCTCTCACATCCATGTTTCTCTCCCCCTCTTGCTCCCTCCTTTCCCCCTCTGTAAAAATAAAATCTTTAAAAAAAAAAGTTCACTCCTACAAAATGGAGTTTAAAATAAAAGGACTCCTAAAGGGGGCTAGGCTTTTGGTAAAAATTTATTTATAAACAGTCAATTCATCAGAAAATATCTAGCCTCTGTGGGGAAACCTCCAACATCTACCAACTGGGCAGAATTACTAAAAGCTTGTAAAGCTTGCTGAAGGAGCACCCTCCTCTAAGGACCTTGCACTTACAGCTGGTCAGGCACTGAGCTATAAAATAAAGTCATGTGACGTCTCAAAAAGGACATATACCTAATCCTGTAAGAAAAAAATAATCTAGTTTTTATAATCTTCCTTTTTTTAAACCAGCCTTCTCAAGTTGGGCAAATTCATTAACTGGACGTTATATTATATGAAGAGAGGCAACTGGGAGAATCAGAAAAGCAAATGACCACCTCACTCCTCACAAGCACAACAAAGCACTCCAGGAAGAATCTTAGTAAAAGTGTCCACACAAATGACAGCCAGCAGAAGGCTGCCTGATGGAGACAGCTCTCCCAACCTAGTGTCCCAAAGCAACTCTAAGAGACAAGTGTAGGGAAGTTAGTGCAAAACATTTATCAAATAAGGTCCAGCAGGGCCTAATAGGAAGAATAATTGTGATTTGTTCAAATGATGTCCCATAGCTCCATCTAAGAAGCAAATGGACATTAAGCCCAACAGTAGATGATTTAGCAGCTTGCTCTCCACCCCTAGACCCAAGCCAGGTTCTAACGACTACCATGATGAAATGGAATTATTAATTCCAACCTTTTCTTTGGACCAGACAGACTCCTGAACTACTGAAACCAGATTAAATCCCACAACAATATAAAAACCTTAAAACTAGCTACTTTGGAACCTGGCCCAATGCGTAATACTTCTTTTCCCTCCTTCTCTTCTAATGATGCACCACCTGTATATAAAACTAATCCCTCTCTGCCCCAACCACCCCACCAACTCAATTCTCAAAAGCTCTACTGACATAGGACTATGACATTCATTTCTGTATTTCTCATTAAACCAACAGAGCGTCGCACATAAGAGGAGCTCAATAAGTCTGTGGGAAATAAATATGTAATTCCCACAGTGTCCATCAATGCAGCATCTAGGCTGCTTAGAGTAGCGAGGTAACACTGGGGATTAAGCTGCAACAGGGCAGTGACAGCTGGGAACATGATGTGGAGCTGCTTTTATTTACACGGGACTTAAGAGAAAGCTAAATTTCTTGAAAAAGATATCATAAGGGAAAGGAGAGAATTATCAAATGAATGATATTTGGGATAGTGAATGAAACAAAGAGAAGCAAATGAGCAATAATGTCCTTGACTCTTATTTGAATGTGAAAATATTAGACAGCATGTACTAAAACAATGGAAAGTCAAAGACAAAGGGCAGAGGCACACTGCACAATCTACTGATTCCTCAAAAAGAGTCAGGTTCTTTTCCTTATTGTTCACATAAATGTATATTTACTGTATACCTGCTTCACATCAGGCATTGACCAGGCATGTGATGAGAGGTAACGCCCCTCCACTCAAAGAGCCTACATAGAACAAGACAGATAAACATGGAACGAAAAGCTATGACAGTATAAAAATGGAATGATGAAAGGAGATGGTAAGAGTGACTTCTCAGGAGGCTGAATCTTCAGAGATAGTAGGTATTTACCAGGACACAGATGGAGAAGGAGTTCCTGATGGACAGAGCAGCATGAGGCAAGGCACAAGCAGGGAAGACTTAAGTGGCTCTTAATATTTTCAGCATGGCTGGAACTTAGCATCCGCAGGTGGGGTCAGCAAGAGACTAAAAATCAAACCACAAATAGCCTTGAATCCCAGGCTAAGGCATTTAGATTTGCACAGAGGTAATGGGATATCACTGAGCAAGAAAATAAAACAAAAGTATGTTTCAAAAAAATCTGGGAGCACATAGAGAAAAGAGGAGAAGGAAAATAAAGGCAAAGGGACTATTATTTCAACATTCCAGGACTTTCAGTCAAGATAGCTATATAGGTAAATGCCATTTCTCCTCCTCCCACAACCACATCAAAATTACAACTTATCTGTGGAACAACCATCATTCAGAACTGCCTGAAACCTGGCTGACTGGAAGTGCTTCAACAAGAGAATTAAAGAAGAATGGAGAGTGGTAGGAAGGGAGGAGATGCAAAACAGGCCGGCTCCACTCCTACATGTGGTGGATAGAAAATGAGAGGGATGTCTCGGCTGCAGAGGTAACCCCTGAGGAACAAGTGGTCCAGCCCCACACACAGGCCCCCAGCCAGAAAGAGAAGTCCCCATAACTTCTGGCTATAAAAACCAGCGGGGATTGAGGCTGAGTGAGGCAGAGAGCTTCTCTCCCAGGAAGTTCTTCGAAAAGGCCCATGCTGTCTTACTTGGATCCGCTTCCTCTGAGCTCCAATACCAGTGCTGGCAGCTGATCAGCCTGGGGGTAATCCCTCCCACTGACAGGCCAACAGCAATCAAGACTCAACTACAACAAGATGGCGTACACAGCCCACAAAGGAGGCATACCTTGAGTGGCCCAGCTTGGATGATTGGGAGGATTGTGCCACTGGACCCTACAGAACACCTACTATTACATATTAGGCCACTCTACCAAGCCTGTGAGACAAGCAGCTCTACCTAATACACAGAAACAAACACAGGGGGGCTGCCAAAATGAGACAAAGAAACACGTCCTAAACAAAAGAACACAACAAAACTCCGGTAAAATAAACTAAACAAAATGGAGACAAGCAATCTACTAAATGCAGAGTTCAAAACACTGGTTATACATATGCTCAATGAACTTAGTGAGAACCTCAACAGCATAAAAAAGATCCCGTCAGAAATTAAGGATACAATAATTAAAATGAAGGATAATTTACAGGAATCAACAGGAAAGTAAATGAAGCTGAGAATTAAATCAGCAATTCTGAATATGAGAAAGCAAAAAACATCCAATCAGAGCAGGGAAAAAAAAAAATCCAAAAAACTGAGGATAGTATAAGGAACCTCTGGGACAACTTCCAACTGTACCAACACTCAACATCACAAGGGTCCTAGAAGCGGAAGAGAGAAAGCAAGAAAATGACAAAACCTATTTGAAAAAATAATGGCAGGAAACTTTCCTAATCTGGTGAAGGAAATAGGCATACAAGTCCAGGAAGTAGAGAGTCCCAAACAAGATGAACCCAAAGAGGCCTACACCACAATTAAAATGCAAAAGGTTAGCCCTGGCTGGTGTGGCTCAGTGGACTGAGTGCCAACCTGCAGACCAAAAGGTCATTGGTTTGATTCCCGCTCAGGGCACATGCCTGGAGTGCACACCAGGCCCCCACGTGGCGGCATGCAAGAGGCAACTCTCACACATCTGATGTTTCTCTTTCTCCCTCCCTTCCTAGCTTTCTAAAAATAAATAAATAAATAAATAAATAAATAAATAAATAAATAAAATGCAAAAGGTTAAAAACAAAGGGAGAATCTTAAAAGTAGCAAAGAGAAAAGCAGTTACTTGCCCACAAGAGAGTTCCCATGAGACTGTCAGCTGATTTCTCAACAGAAACTTTGCAGGCCAGAAGGGATTGGCAAGAAATATTCAAAGTGATGAAAACCAAGGACCTACAACGAAGATAACCCAGCAAAGCTACCATTTAGAATGAAAGGACAGATAAAGAGCTTCCCAGAGAAGAAAAAGCTAAAAGACTTCATCAGCACCAAACCAGTATTACATAAACTGTTAAAAAGTTTTCTTCAAGAAGAAAAAAAGATAAAAATATGAACATTATAATAGCAATACATACATATCTACCAATAATTGAACCTAAAAAACAAAATAAACAAGCAAAAGAGAAACAAATGGAGGGAGGGTTGGGAAAATGGGTGAGAAGAGTCAAGGGATTAAAAATTACAAATTGATTGTTACAGAATACTCATGGGGATATAAAGTACAGCATAGGTGATACATTCAATAATATTCTAATAACTATGTATGATGTCAGATGGCTGCGAGATTTACTGGGATGATCATTTAATAAGTTATGTAATTAATGCCTAATCATGGGGGTATACACCTGAAACTAATATAAGAATGAATGTGAACTATAATTGAAAAATAAAAAACAATTTAAAAATGAAAAAAAAATATTCCAAGCACATGATCAGAGCTGAACAAAGAACAATAGGAATAGTAATGAAGTTTCAGGGTTAGAGAAGAGGTTTAAGGAGGAAGAATGTTTAGGTCTTGATAAAGGCCTGGATGTTGCAGGTGGAGGTGAATGAAACACGAGCAAGGGAAATCAGATTTCTGATGTGAGTTACTAGTTGGCGTCACTACTTACTTGAGCCACAGAAGCTTCAAGGGCATGGTGGGGAAAAAACCAGATCCCAATAGGATGAGGGGAGGCTGGATTATTAGGATGAAGAAATAGTGACTATAGCTGAGAAAGGGTAAAATCTACAGCTGTCAAATACTTATCAGAGACCTTTGAAGAGTCACTAGGAGTAGCTAAGTGACAATGAATTGCTCTGAAAGAAACAAAAAGCACTAAACTACATAAATATGTAAAACTAAAATGAGAGCTGGGATCAGATTATGTGGTATCCTTTCACCTAGGTTGGTTCTCGTAAGATTTTATTGTACTGTTACATAGGATACAGTTAAGATTTTTAGAAGAAGCTCCAACTGACCACATGTTTCTCTGCCCTAGATTTTCATCCACAAAACAGGAAATTAAAACCATTTTTTCCTAGAGGCTACACAGCTTCTTCCTTCGGAGGAAATGAACTTAATCAGCTCTAGCCAGCCAAGGCCAACACTCTTCTCTCAGAGGCAGTCAAGCTGTTATATAATATACAAGTGAAAGGAAAGAAGTACTCAAAATGTTGGTCAAGAAAAGCACTTTGCACCCAAAATTTGAAAGGTACTGAGATATTTAATCTTCAGGGCTTGATCTTACAGTACTAGGAGTATTTGTAACAGCAGAAAATAACAAATAAAACTAGTAATAACCACTACTAACAACTAAGTACTTTGTAGGCATGTGCTAAGCATTTCACTGTTATTAGTCCCAAGAACTTGTGCTGAGAAAGGACCAGTGAAAGAGACCTGATTTTGATCTATTTAGTCATTATCCCAGAATCTGACTGCTGTTGAAAGTAGAATTTGGGGTGATTTTCTCTATTTTTTTCTAGCATTGCTTCGCTGCCTTATTAATTCCAAAAAAATACCCTTTATTATAGATGGAAAAAATTTTCCCTAAAGAAAAGATCCCCATGAGCTGCTTTTTACTCTTCACTTGTATGTCCAGGAATAGTAGGGGAATGCTGACATAGCAACTTGCCAAACATCATTAGGTTGGGGCAAATGACGAATAATTAGAATCCAGAAATTTCATTTTTGATAGCCAAAGCACAATTAAAGGAAAGACAAGAGTTCATGTTTCAAAGGATAGGAACCAAGATCACTAAATAATGCCAAATTAGGACTCATAGTAGCTGCCTGGAGAGGCAAGACCAGAAGGAATCCAAAGGCAGACCCCAAGGGAAGCTAGGTAGCCAAGCATTAGCAGTGGGGGGATAAGGGATGAGGAGGAGATGGTGGAGCGAATGCTCAGAAACTTCTCGGCTCACCCTAATACAATGGTTCTTGACTATCACTGAGCCACAAGTTGCCTTAAGAAATTGATAAAAGCTCTCTTCTTAAAAACGCATGTCTACACAAAATTTTGCAAGCATCATGGAGTTCTAACGCCTTTAGAGGTATATAGATCCCAGGTTAAGAATCTGTAATAAAGCACACGCCTAGCATTTATAGTATGCCACCATTTAGAAAAATGAGAGTGCTTCCAAAAGTGATAAATGTCTCTGGAGGGAGACACAAAACTAGTACTATCAGTAGTCCTTAGGGAGGAGAATTCGATTTTTCACTGAATACCCTTCTGACTTTTGAATGTGAATGAAGAATTCAAACATAATATTAGAGCTCTGCCAAAAGCAATGCCAACCTCAAACAGCCGAGACTACCTAGGAAATGTTCTAACCTATTCTAAGACGTGGAGGAGTAAAACACCGACAAACCTGAAAAGGCTCTAAGGCCTAAAGGAAAGGGTATGAGAAAAAGCCCCGAGATGGGGAAGGAGGACAATGGTGCAAAGAAGGGGAAGGGACTAGACAAAGAACAGGTATGAATGACCCATCCCATGGACATGGACAACAGTGTGGGAACTGACTGTGGGAGAGGGGGGTGGAGGTGGGATGGGTGGAGGGGGATAAAGAAGGAAAAAGTGAGACAACTGTAATAGAATAAACATGATTTAAAAATTTAAAAATATAAATTTAAAAAAAAAGATACAAAAAAGAAAAAGAAAAAGAAAAAGCCCTGAGACTGGGATCACTGCCAAGGGCAGTGAATGTATATAAACCATGCAAGACATTGTGGGTATATCTAGTGTCATCAGTGCTGTGATATAAAAACACTCAAAATACACAGAAAAGGAAGAGTAGCTCAACCTTGCATCAGTCAAGATCAGGCTATCACCTGGGTCCACAGCCTCAGGGAGGCCTCAGGAAGAACCTACCTCATCAGGCGTATCTTTTGCATCTGGCTGTGTTGCAGCTGCCCGGCGAGCAAGGTTTCCAGCTCGTATGTTGCTAAGGTTGATCTGTCTCTCTGGAGGAGGCCCACCACGAGGCTGCCCTCGTACAATGATGGCACATCCTGACAGGACCTGAGTATGGGGGGAGAAAGAAAAGAAAATTAGCAGTCTAAAAGTAACAGCATATTAATATAGATTATTCGGCCCTGGCTAGTCCAGTTCAGTGTGTTGAGCACAGGCCTGTGAGCCTAAAGGTCGCTGATTTGTTTCCCAGTCAGGGCACATGCCTGGGTTGCGGGCCAGGTCCCCGGTTGGGGGCGTGAGAGGCAACGAATCTCTTGCACATCGTTGTTTCTCTCCCTTTCTCCCTCCCCCCTCCCTCTCTAAAAAAATAAATAAAATCATTATATATGGTACAATACTGTCCCCAATATGTAGAACAGTACTTGGCACCTTGGAGGCACTCAAATATTTGTTAAGTAAGCAGATGAATGAGATTTTTAATTTTATAACAGAAACACCCACATAAAAACAGTGAAATATGAAATTATTTGACCCAGAAACAGAAGAAGGAATTAACACAAATGACAGAAGACTCGTAAAATAGACTGGCTGGGGTTAAGAGGCACATGAGACAGGCAGGTTAATGACCTTTGTAATTTCATCCCCCCCGTGCACCCGTCACCTGTGTTCTTTTCAATTATTAAGTTAATGTCTCTATCCACACATTCCACTCCAGGGCAGAAGCAAGGAACAAAGGCCTCAGAAGAGGGGAAACTGGAGGAAGGAGCCCCTACACACCATCCAAAGAAGATGAGTAAAAGCAGTGTAGCCAGAGCCCGGTGCTCATGCTTCCATTGTACGCAGGGCTCCCAGTCTAGGCTAAGAGAAAAATACAGAAGTAATCTAGGAAACCCATGTTCTAGACGACTGAAACAGCAGAATCCAAGCACCTAGGCTCCTGAGCACTGCAGCTCCTTTCACCTCTCTAATCAAAGACACCAGGCATAGAAGCCTCTGGCAAGGGAACTGTGAAGAGAGCTCTGAAGCTCACTAGTATTTAACATTTAAATATCTGCAGGAGAGAAAAAAGGAGGATTTCAAATGGGAGAAGAGAAGAAAAGATGTAAAGAAAAAAGGACAGATACTACCCCCAGCTACTCAAATTGCCTTTGCTTAGTGAGGCATATTTTAATAAACAGGTGGGCTCAGGCACTCGCTTCACTAGATCTGAAAGACCCTCATTTTCAAGCTTCAAAACAAGAAAAGCTGCTGAAAAGGTCGCAGATAGAAGATTGGAGAGTTCTGCCAATGTAGACCTCGGTGGCAGACAAGACCATGGGGTTCTCTACAAAGGAACAGTCCCTGGAAAGGAAGCCAAATCAAAGGAAGAAAGGAAGGAGTACAAAGGGAAGCCTCTCCTATACACATCTGCTTAGCTGACAATCCTCTTTCACCCTCCACCTTAACATGTAAGTTGTGAAATATTAATATAAATATTAATATTAAAACATAACTGTACATATGAAAGAATAAGATAAGTAACTGAGTAACCATCACCCAAGTTAAGAACTAGAACATTGCCAGAACCTTGGATTCCCCCGTTTCCCTCTCTATTTGTAGCCCCTTCCTTTTCCCAACCCCCCACTACCCTACCATTATGATAATCGCTCCCTTACTTTTAGGTAGTTTTACACCATCTAAGTACAGAGCTCTAAGCAATATAGTTTCAGTTTACCTATTTCTGAACCCTATATAAATTGAGTCTACTGCATGTACCATAAGTAACTTGCTTCTTTTGCTCATTGTTTCTGTTTTTTTGATAACACTCATTCATGGTGTTGTGAAACACTCATTCACTTTTACAGTTCTATAGTATTTATTCCACTGCATGACTATACCACAAGTCATCTATCTATTCTACTACCTTGTTATAGAAATTCCGTCCAACAAATACACATATTCCAACTTTTAAAAAAACAGTGCTCCAGCCCTGGCTGGTGTGGCTCAGTGGATTGAGCACTGCCTGCAAACTGAAATGTCACCAGTTCAATTCCCAGTCAGGGCACATGCCTGGGTTGTAGGCCAGGTCCCCAGTTGGGGGTGTGTGAGAGGTAGCCAATGGAGGTCTCTCTTGCACATCAATGTTTCTCTCCCTCTCTTTCTCCCTCCCTTCCCTTCTCGCTAAAAATAAATAAAATTGTTTTTTAAATAAATAAATAGTACTCTAATCAGTATCTAAATATCCCCACTGCCCTCAGGACAAAGACCTTGGTCTTAATGGCTCCTCCCTGGCTACACCATGACACACACATAAAAAACTGTCCCCCTCATCACTAACAAGTAATGCTCTTCATTTTCATCCTTTCTGATTAAGTGTGACCAGCAACTAAAGTCCACAGCTTCCAACCAAACAGCCTTGCTACAGCCTCTCCTGAGAAGCCATGCCCTGCTATCATCCCAGGGAACTGACATTCTAAAAAGACAAGCTCTCAAACAAAGCGAAGCCAGGGAAGAACAGGTACACTAAGGTAGAGGATGTTTCATGCTCCTGAAATGAAAGTCCAAAGGAAAGAAAAGGAAAAGAGCCTGGATCTGATTCATTCATAGTTAATTCTTCACAAGTGGAAGGAACAAGAATAGCACATTTTAGAATACCTGTGCTTGAAATCATTCATGCAAAAATTCTGAACAAGGCCAAGGAAAGCCCAGCTACATACAGCAGCAAAGTCAGAGCATCTGCTTCCAATGCCTGCTCCTCAGTTTCAGTCAAGTTTCCACAAAAAATAATAAAGCGCTCCCAGGAAAGCCAATGCCTCTTGGTAAGCCCAGCTGGAACAGCTAGGACCCATTTACAAGAAAACTTACCATGGCTAATCAAGGTAAACTCTGGTAAGTGAGCACTGGCCCAAGCTAGCAAAGAATCTTTATTTCTTAAGTCCAACGAAGGCCACTGAGAAGCTCCAGAGCAGAATGACTCACGAGAACCACCTCCCTTCTCCCCTAAATATCAGAAAGGTTATTACCTCCAATGCCTCCACCTAGTACACTAGGTCCCTGGGGAACAATGAGTCTGTAACTATTCTCCTCACCCCATTAAGGCCTTTGGCAAGGAACTTGTGCATAGAAATTTTGCAATGCTTCCTTTGTACACCCCGCTCACCGTCTCCCGGAATGCTATTCTAAAACCTATCAGAACTTCTTTACGTTATTGCACCAAATAATGCCATTTAGACAACAATCAACGCTTGAATCAATACTGGAGAGAGATGACTTTTATTTTATAGGCTGCTCTATACCTTTTATACTATTGTACATTAAAATCAAGCAGCAGTCACCAATTCTAACTTTCTAGCAACAAGAATAGATACTCATGTAGAAGACACTGCTATTCCTTATTCCTGCAGGAGGAAAGAACTGACATATGTACATCTTTACTCTGAAACTCTCTCCCCCTCATTTGGCCATAGCCTTGGCAGAGAAGCAGGAAGAAACTCTTGTCTACAGACCATTATGGAAGGAAGAGAGACCTGTCTATAAGGAAAGAACTAGTTTCCTTCCTAGTATTTACAGGAACTAAAGTAGCAGAGAGTACATACAGTTTGTTCTGAACTATCTCCATTTCATCTTCAAGCACTATTAAATTCCCTCCACCTGCCTCACTTGCCCAATGACCTTCTCTTATCTAAGGTTCTCTGCCAAATAAAACCAAGGAAAAACAGTCCTTAGGGGGAAAAAAATACTTAAAATGTCTTGAAGTAAAATATGAAAAAGAACCAGAGTCTACACATCAAACTTAATTTGTCTTCTATGGCATCAAAACAAGTCATTTTTCCTCTGTGAAAAACCTGACATTATAGTTTTATACATTGATTCATTTATCATTAATTAAATGGAAATTTAATAAGTTCCTACTATGTGCCAGGCATTGTTCTTGACAAGTGGTATACTTCTGTGTAATAACACTCACAAAAATGTGTTCTTGGAGAGCTGACATTCTACGGGGGGGGGGGAGACAAACAATAAGCGTAAGGAAAACATATCATTTGTTTATCAGAATTTTAATTTCAGAAGAATATTAAGATTGAGAGAAAACTGTCACGGGTAACTGTTCTGCCAAAATTGTACTGATTCATGTTGCAATTCATGCGGTAATTATCCTTAGTGGCTAATTTATAGGGCATAGAAAGCAAGTCATATGGTAACTGCTTTATCCAATTACATTAATAAAATGGCATTCTAGAAAAATGATTTTAGCCCTACCTGATACAGCAGGGGGTTTGTGAAAATAGCTGTCACAATGAGTCAGTTTGATTGAGGTTATGGATTAGACATTTCTCAGTTCTGCCAATAAAGGTCGCAGAGGAACACAGCAGGATTCGGAGGACCTGGCTTCAGGGCACAAGTCGGATGGTGACAAAGGCTGAAATAAACCAGCTGAGAAGGAAAATAGCGACTCAAACTGTTCAAACCCACTTATGGGCTTACTAGGAGATTTACCTCCAGTGCAACACTTCGTGGGTAGCCACTAAAATGTTGCCCAGCAACAGGAACACCAGACAGATCTTCACTAGATCCTGATGAACAAAGTGGTACATTTAACTCTTAAACCTCCAGACCACAGACACCGGAAGACAGAATAATTCTTAAACAAAAACCTAGCCACACTATACTTCAGGCAAACAAAGTGATGGTGCAGAAATCCATAAGCCTGTCAATAAAGCCAGTATTTTTTTCACAGCCCAAGGGCAAAAATCATCTTGGCCTCCAAGTGGAATCTTAATAGCTGAGAGGATCTTAATAAAACCTCTGCAAGGACTGGCAGAGCTAATACCAGGTAGACCTTAGCAACATTTGCCAATAGGAAGACCCAATATAAAGAATGAGGACAGCCATCTAATGAACACTAAAATGTTACCAAAAAAAGAACCCAAAATAAACTCATACATTTATAGTCAGTTGAATTTCAACAAGGGTACCAAGATAATGTAATGAGGAAAGAATAATCCTTTCAATAGAAATTGCAAATTGGATATCCATGTACAAAAGAATGAGATTAATAACTTTTGTAGATGGTATGAGGTACAGGTTAACTCAAAAAACATCAGATGTAAGAGTTAAACTATTCGTAG